ATTTGGAGCTTTATTTAACTCTTAGCCAGACCTTATATAAACACATTAGGAGTAGAGAAGACATGTTTTTTTTTTATTTTAAAAGAATAAAAATATTTATAAAATTATTCCAAAAACATATTTATTTTATATTTATACCATATATCTCAATCAAACTAAATTTATATTATATTTGTGTATGTTTTTTTAATCTTAAAATATTAACCAAACACAAATTTTAGGCGTGGGGTCTAAGCCGTGTAGTTGAATTTACTCCTAATAAATGCCCAAGGTTCTATCCGGAGCATGACCTGAAGCCATGACCTTAAAGTCTACTATAATTAAGGATGCTTGTGTCATGGCAGCAGCTGCACAGCCAGGGCTCACCTTTTTCCCAATTAGCTAGCTAGCTGGCTAGCTCAGGTGCGTGAATTTGTAGCCTGTGGAAGGTAGTACTGTGCTCATAGATGGTCTTTAATGACCTGTGCAGTAAAAAAAAGACAGAATTTTGTTCCTCAGAAGGTCTAATTAAAATTGTACCTTGCGAGTACTTTCTAACCCCATTAATGTATGATCGTGTAATTACAAAAATTAATTGAAAATTTAACATAAACCCCTTATCATATCTAAAATTTTTCAGATATGTTTTTTTTTCTGGGATTTTTTTTATTTTTTAATTAATTATTAATCCTTTCCAAAATTTATTATATAAATAATAGATAAATATTTTATTTTTTATATAGGATTTCAAGTTTTTTAAGACTTTAATACATACATGCATACATACATATTTATAAAAAATATTTATTTTTTTAACATGAAATTTGAAATCCTATTATATGTTTACAACAAAAAAAATATTTTTCTAATATAGAATATATTTTTGTTTGTTTAAATAATTTAGCTTAAAATGATAGTATGATATATTTTTAATATGAAATAAAAAAATTTTAAAATAATTTTTATATTTTATTATTTTTAACATGTATATTCAATATTTACATAAATTATTTTTTAATTTTTTTATATAAAATATTAAAATTTTAAATTTTTTTTTAAATTTTTCCAGTTAACTCGTACATGCAGAAATAGCTAGGTGAATTCCTGATACGGTATCCAAATAGTGGCATATGCAAAGACTTTGCTGGCTATTTGTACTAGTGGTTCATGCTTCCTTCACATGCCTCCTGATGGGACACAATTAATTCATCATATTCCTTACCTTTTCAATTTGGACAAAAAAACACCAACATAAACGGAGATCCCCTTATGTTCCTGAAAACGTGAAAAAAATCATATTTGTAAAATCTTTTTTGTTGATTTCAAATCAATAGTTAGATTTTAATTATTTCAAGTTTGAATAACCACTGTTTATGTATGAAATTTGAATTAAAAAATGTGTATTTTACATATGATCCATCATGTTTTTTTTTTTAAGAAATTCAGATCCCCAAAAATGAGCTCAATGACTTGCACTAAACAACATTAAACCAAACACTTACATGGTGTTTGCTTGTTGTCTCAGCTTATAAGGTGATGTTTAGCTATTATTTTATGAAAAAAACAGCATGAATATGAGAATATATATCCATATTTAACTCTCCAACCAATTCAAATACGTTTATATCTCTTTTATTGTCAAAGGATATATATATATATATAAGCTCCAATTAAGTGCTAACTGTAAGACATAGCTACTAGTATTTATATTGGTAGTTCATGCTTCTGTCGTATGCCTTCTGGGGCCGCAATTAATTCGTCTATGTTATGTTGTTTCAATATGAACACACAAACATGCAAGCCATATGAGAAGGAATCATCAAACCTCACTATTATTTTCCCCACAAATCCAGGCATTTATGCACCCGACCTGTTACTTTCCTTCAAAAACAAGTTTGCCATGTTTTCAGTATTTTCAAACCAACTTTGCCACCTATTTGTTAAGTAAAACATCAACTAGCTAGACTACACATAACCTAGAAAATTCAACCAACCAAGATTAAACCTTTCCTTTGCTTTGCCTTTTCAAATTCAAAATAATGACCGGTGGCATGGCACCATACCAATGCCAACATGCCCTCTCCTCCAAGCTCTCTTTTTTAAGTCATAAATACAAATTGAAAGCTCAAGGGACCTCAGGGTGCCTTTTGCATTGTTTCTTTAAGCTTTAAATTTAATATACTCACCTTCCCTTTTGTTGTTGGGTTGGTAGGGAATTAATTGCCAACTTATGCTAGCCTATACATCCCTCCTTTCATCCCTTCCTCTCCTCTCCTAACAGACACAGACATACACATTAAGTAATGGATTACAGTCTCACAGTCATAGATAGAACATTGCTTCACCTTGCAGAAAACAAATCCCATTTGCTTTCCCTCCATTGCTTTTTTTCCCTCCATCGATCCTTTGACTCTTCTATGTCTCTGTGCGGTAAGTTTATTTACTCGAAAGCTTCCTCAAAGCCCTTAATTCTGTTGACATTCACTCGAAACCATCTATTTATTCCTTGATACTTGAATATCATGTTTCTTGGAGCTATTTAGGGTTTCATGCTGCATGTGCTTGTGTTTGTTACTTCATAAACTAAATTTCAGTTATATGTATACATTGTTATTCGTATGTTTCTTCAGAGAAAACGGGATATTGGTACGGTTCAATCAGAAAGTAATGCTCCCAAGAGTATAGAGTACTATTGTTTGATTGAGCGGTGCCAATATCACGTACGCTCATCTTCCTCTCGAGGACCGAGCTCTTCCAAATATCGAGCTCATACATATTTGGAAGGTATGATTCCTAATCCTGATCTCTTCTTCGAGTTATTTCCTTCTCGATCTCCAATACATTTCTTGAGCCAAAAACAGGTCTTGTGCGACTCAACGCACAAATCAATTCTTTATGTATTAGTAATCAAGACATTTCCTTTATCATTTTATCTTAAGAATTGTTGTTTCTTTGTTTCTGTTACAACTTAAGAAGATATTGAACCTAGATCTCTTACAGGAATGAGTTATAAGTTAACTATCATTACTGTTTTTTCTTCCATCTTGCTAATTATGCTATTGGAACCATGTTTCCATGCAGAAATTAAACTAATCCAGCAACCCGTCATTGCAAACTTGATGGGAAAAACACAGTACAAATTTCCTTACAAATCTTGTTGGATTTCTTTTTTCTCTTTGATTACCAATATACTTCGGTGGCTTTAAAGAAGTAATGATCATGGAACAACCAACTGATCTAACTAAAGTGACTTGCTTAGGTGGTAGGCAAGAACTATTAATAGTTGTCTTTGAAAAGTACTTCCACTTTTTTGACAAAGTGGGTATCAGTAGGTGACAAAGATTCAATCTCCTTAAACTGTTCTCTTCTCATTATTCTAAAGCTCCAGGCATCACGACTTTCCAAATGTGTGAGACGCTTTAGCGCCAGAAATTGAGGAATTATATTGTTTTTTTTTAATCTTTTCCATCTAAATCCTTTTTAAGTTTATTTTGTAAAAGTATTTTAATTGGAATTTTGCCTTGTAGAGTACAATTTTTGTGGCAAAGATTTCAACCTTCGAATTATCAAATGCAGTCTCACTTGGAAACCATAAATTGCTTAGTGTTTTCGGTCATATACTTATCCAATTGAAATGTATTTGTAACGTCTCCCCTTTTTTGTTTTTCCAAAAAGGGAAAAATGGATAAAATCTTTAACCTATGGAAGTTTAGATCAAGCACTATTCCTCCCAAAATAACTGTCCTCGGCATGTTAATGAAGACTATTGACTTCTTGATGGTTTGCATAATATGGGGTTTTAGACGGCACACCTGATTTAAGGATTAACTTGAAAAAAGATTTGGGTTAAAGTTTGTTTCGCAGTGGATGTGGGTGTTTTTTTTAAAAAAAATTATATTAAAATATATACTAATTATATTTTTTATATTTTTCAAAAAATATTTTTAATATCAATACATCAAAACAATCTAAAATATATTAAATTTTAATAAAAATATAAAAAAATTTAAATTTTTTAATAACATAGTTTGCACCTCATTAAGTTATTGGATGAACTTAAGAGTTGTTATTTCAAATTATTTTTATTAAAAATTATTTTTTTTCAAATTTTTTTCTTTGATATTGATTCGGTTATTTACATATTAATCCAGTTGTTCTAATCAACTCTAAAACTTATTTGAAAAAAATCTAAATCATTAAATAATTGGGTTAGCCCATAAGTGATCAATTATTTTTATTAAAGCATTATTTCATTTTTTATAAATAAAAATTTCTTGTTTTTAATCTCACCAAGTTAACTATATCATCAATACTTTATCTAATTTATCTAGAAATTTAATCCCGGTCATGTTTTGAGTCTCAAATTTCTTGGATGGGTAAGGTTTAACAACAAAGTGTATAACGCATACCAATTGAGTGGACACCATGAACCCTTGAACGTTACTTAGAATAATTTCTTCCGAGACTTGGCATTATGGCTCATTCAATGCAGGTCTTATTTGATTTGATGTGTCTACTACCTAGTTTCTCATTGTCGACAATGGGGTTAATGTCCATGGAGTTTTACTTTCAGTTTCCTGAGTCAATATGATCCATCAGATTTTTCATCACGTTCTCTATTACTGTCTTCTTTAAATTTGAGGTCATTGACCATTCATTATCACGGACAACTGAGATTCTTAGTGTAGGCCAAAAGGGAGATGGAAATAATGCAGAGGGAAGACAATTGGGGCATCCCACTGTTATTCTACGTCGTTGTGGGGTAGCGATGGAATTTGCTTTCTCCATCCTGGTGTTGTTAGGTTATCCAACAGACAAGGCTGCTGACTTGCTGCTGTAGATGCCTAATGTTTCAAAGCTGGATCTCATCATTTGACTGGGAAGCTATGTTGTAGCCATTGCAAGAGGCCAGCTGCACCGTAAAGATATTATGATCTCTCTCGGATCCTTTATGTTCTACAGAATGGACCTTAAGCATGAAATGAAAAGAAGCATTAAAAAGTGAAAAACCATTAGCAATCTGAAGGAAAAACTCAACAAGGATTTTTTACTCTGTTGTATATTGTATTGATCCATAAAGCAAAAGTTGTCCATCATAAAGATTATTCTAACTTATTGTTTGCTATTAGCAGTCATGGCAGAGAACCAACTAAACAGTCCTCCAACCATTCAAAGAATGGAAGTTAGTTTGTTACAGCCTCTCCTTTTACTGTCTTACCACCATCTAGGGCTGGCCTCCTATGGATAAGGGCCCGTGCAGCAGCAAGGATCTCTATTCTCTTTGACTGTAACTCTATAATTTCTACTAGTATATTACACACAGCTCTACAACTTACTTCCCCATGTTGTCCTTTCTGAGTTTGGAGGGATGGTATCTGATCTCTCAGAAGCTTGCATGCTCTAGAGCATTTACATCTTCACCACATGTCCTGTGAACTTCCACCATTCTCTCCACGGACCTGCAAATCCCGCTACATTTCCAATCAAATGAAGCAGCACAGACACTGCCAAGCTGTGCCTTCCACTCACAATCTGCAGTAACGAATCACATCATTATCTCTGTAAGGAGTATTTATATTTATGCTATATTCTCACTCTTTAAATTAATCAATATATGCAGTTAAAGGATGAATGGAAACTTGTAATAATTCTGAATATGTCTGTTTATAATTACAAGAGCTTACAGATAGCAAGAAGAACCTTTAAAATTAACACTATAATAAGTTCAAAGAAGCAAATTGTCAATTTGGATCTGCTTTGTTCTACAGAATGAGCATCTGTCCTCAGAGGCAGGGAAATTTTACAGGTATTCAGGTGTTGCTTTCTTCTTTTCGCCTACCGACCAGAATAGATTTCCCATGTGAAAACTAAATGAATAGTATATAAACATGTACCGCTAGCAATGTCAAATTTACCTGGTGGAGTACCACAACAGATTCTCTTATCATCAACGTGCTCCACATCTAAACCGATAAACCAAGATCCCAGAGAAACATCTTCATTGACATATTTATGCAATATGTGCCTGAAGATAAGATTAAAAGAAAATTGAAGTGCATATTTAGCAAAACAAATTCACAATCTGTAATGCTTAGGAATCAAATACATGGAGCCAGAATTAGAACCCCCTTTTCCAGATTCTTGGTAGCAAACTGGATTAGCAATCAATTTCAGCCCATCCAATCATTACTCATAAGAGACTTTAAGTTTTTCTGTAAACCAAGTAATTTGTATGACTGGAGGGAGACTTACTGGTTTTCAGATATATAGGTAGCCAAATCCTTTGATATAGCATAAAGTTGTCCAGTAGCATGTCGGAAATACTTGTTTCCAGCTTCTCCGAATTTCCAATACTCTGGTTCGTAATATTTCACTCCCCTGTTTCATGGATATGTAAGAAACCATACCTTACCAATATTGAGCTAATTCAAACAGCTCAGACCACTAAGCATACCTTTTAGAAAGTACAGGACCAGACTTCATACAACCGACATAAACCCGACGTTTCTTTCGGTGTCCAGCTAAGATTGTGCCCAATGTTGCTATATTAATTTCACAGCAAATGAGCTTAATGAGATGGGAGAAACAAGATAAACATGTACTCAGAGAATTCACAGGCACTCATCTCTAAAAACGCATGTCATTTTCTCCAATTCTACATATTTGTGTGTGCCCGCAAGTGTGTGTGTGTGTGTGTAAGAGAGAGAGAGAGAGAGAGAGAGAAGACATACTGCATACAAGATCTACAAATTAAACATGCAAGAAAGGATAAAAATTCTTTTCACCTAAATTCACATGAACATCATCGTCAACTTTGATATAAAAGTCCGCATCCCACAAAGCAACAGCAGTACTAAAGTCTTTGTCTTGGCTGATAGTTCCAGGTAGCCCTCAACATGTTCCTGTTTAGCATTATGAAAAATAAGAAGCATATACCTATTAGACATTTCATTAGACCCACTTTCAACCATCTGGAGAGCAAAAGATGAACGCAACGGCTAAGTAATGAATAAAATCACCAGTCTCAAAAAATCTCCGTGCACCATTTCCTCTGGTTCAATAGCTTTGTCAAGAATGCCACCAGCAGTTGAACTGTGAAAAAATGCCATTTCATGAAAATTTCCTCTTTAAATTCATACTCCACAACTATATAGTGTACCGACATCTAGCATGAACAGTGAACATAGCAATCAAGGAGGTATACAAGTCCACGTCCATCCCTTCTTCCTCAGTTTACTACCACTTGTCCATCGTTTCTATCTCGGTTTATTTCACAGTGCACTTGATTCTATTCCTATCTTCCACATGACATTGCGATTGTTTTATCTACAAGTTTTTCATGTCTCTCTAGATTTCTTGCTTTTAAAACAAAGTCCTGCTTTCATTATTGCATCAGTTTTGAAATCTTTTCACAATGATTCTATACGTATCCTCCACATGACATTGCATTGTTTTATCTACAAGTTTTTCTTATCTGTCTAGTTTTCTTGCTTTTAAAACAAAGTCCTGCTTTCATTATTGTATCAGTTCCGAAATCTTTTCAAAAGAATATAATCAAATTTGTACAACCTTTCAGTGCTAGAGCCACAAATTTTACATACAGTCCAGTAGAAGAAAGATGGCAAGTGCTCCACATTTTAAGAAAATCAAGCACACCGCAAACAACACTAGCTACAGGATAGGTATAAAATCTCACCTGTGACCTATAACAAAGCGTATGACTATACCCTTCTCCTTCTCCAATTTCTTTCTTGCCTCACCTATTTAAGGATTCAAAACATGAACTGGTTAGTCATTCTCTAACTGCAAACTGGCAACTGGAGTAGCATATAACTTTAAAAAGAACAAGTCAAAAACAAATTTGATCCCAGCCAATTCACCTTGTGGCATCCAAGTTGTACGAACAGAATCCCTCCGTTTCCGACTGCTAAAAGCTGTATTGATTCCAATTACCATAAAGTATTTTCTTCTCGAGTTTCCTGATGCAGCATCGCCTCTTAACAAAGATTGCTGCTCTGCCTTAGCAGCTGCTAGTTTCATCTCTATATTTGAAATTTTACTATCTAAGGCACTGCATTCAGAATAATACAGCAACGGGATTTGCATTTAGGTCAATGAAAGGGTAACACCATCGTATCTGTGAAACTCAACATAATGTACAGAAGAGCTTACCTGATATCATACCGAGTATTTGAAATTTGCCCTAGACTGTTAATGGATGTATGATTTTCAACCTTCTGATAGTGGCAAAAGATTGAAGCAAACTAGAAAGTCAATTGCAATAGTATAATTGAAAAGCATAGCTGAAATCTGATTATATGAAAGACAACAATGCAGAAAAAATGACTTAAAGAAACATGTACATTGCAAATTCTAACCTTTCCTTGACAAATATGACAATTGTATAAAAGAAAGTCCATGGACAGCGAAACTAACATTCAGCAATAAATTCTTCCATCCGGTTTGCATTTACAAATCACAAGTTATATATATTTGAAGAAAACTGCTTTGATGATACGATAATCCATAGCTAAATTAAACAATAAAAAATTCTTATTCCCATAAATTATGGATCAACCACTGAAATAACTGATGTGTCAGAGAATTTTTAGCATTGTAGTGAAGGGTGTTTTTCAATTGAAAATACATTAAAATAATGCTTGACCACCAACTAGCTATGCTTCATTCTGCATTACCTCAATGCCATAGCGCAACACAACATTAAGCTTGTCCGTATGTTTTTAAATAAAAGCCTGATATGCACTTACAAGCTTCTGATTACAATTCTTGGATTCTAAATTTGTTCTTTCAGGCTCTGTCCAAATCCTGGTGCAAGATTTCTTGATTAATATATATGACAAAGCAAATCACCTTGAATTGTAAATTAAAGTAGCCTAAAATCTATTGACAAAAAACAATTATAACTTCAAATGACCGCCAAAATTTATCAAACGAAGCTTGCTAGCAATTGGCACCAAAACTTGTGCAATATAGAATTATAAAAAATGTGGCCCAAAACAACATAGAATAACACTCTGCAATTGAATCCAGCCCACAACATCAGACACAAGTTTAAGCGAAGGAAATAAAAAAGAAACGACAGCACACGTTTACAGCTTCTGTTTCCAAGGTTAATAAAGTGTCGGTGGAGACATATTTGCCAAAAGATAACAATTTTTTTTTTAAAAAAAAGGTCAACATGGCAGTCATTTGATTCCACAATATCCAAAAATCAAGAACAGAAGAGTAAAGCACAACACAATTTTTTCCTTAAACATTCAAGTTCTTCTTGTCTTACGACATTTACCTTCAAGAATCAATGGCAACACTTCAAATTAAAAGTCCAAGAAATCAGTCAGAGAGGCTTACTTCAACAGCACAAACCAATCCAAATGACCCTTTTCAATATCTCTATCACAAATCACATATTTCTCAAAATTAATTGATACCCAGTAGAGTAATAATCATCATACAATCAAAGCAACCTCCAAAGCCTACAACTTTGAAGAAAGCAATAGGAACGCATTAATCAAAACTTGCCTGTTAGTGAATAATATCCCAGCAGAGAAGCTGCCAAAACAAAGCAAAAGAGCCAGATTCCTTGACACCACTGCATTCCTTGAACCCATCTCTCCTCCTCCAACTCCTACTCTACCCTTCACTGACATTTTTGTTTTACTATTTAACCTACACTCAAGAACAAAAAAACAAAAAGATTCAAACTTTATCAAAAGTATAATTCTAAAACCAATTTAGACACAACCCAGAATCTGTTTTGGTTTAAGAAAACAAATGAAAGTGGTGCTGTACATGTGTTTATGTTTATGCAATGACACAGTCCACACACTTCTCTCCGTCCACAAAAGGGAACAGAGACAGAGAGGGAGAGAGGTGCTCGGTGAAAAGTCCTGGTTACCAACTTCCACTCTTATTAATATATATAGTCTAAAAAATTACTTAACCGTTCTCTTTACAGTATGTTTCTGTTTGTCACCATTAATGTACTTTTGGTGTTATATGTTTCAAGACTACAATTACAATGTTGTCTTTTACTTTTTGGAACAACAAGATTAACGTTTCTAGTCTACACTCATAACAGTAACAGTTTCACTCGCATAGAATTGGTACTTTCTTTCTTAATCAATTCATGGGGTTAGTGCTTAGAGCTTTGATGCTAGTTCTTGGTCTTGATAGTTTAAGGTTCATTTAAGTGAACCAGATGGTTTTGAAAGATATCAAATTGGAAAGGTAATTCTTCACTTTATCTCAATCTGAATGTATAATTTTTTTAAAAAAAACTTTCGATTAAGCATTTGTGTACAACTTTTGTTAATCAATTACTATATAAAAATTACAATACCGGCATACCAAATTTTAGATTTTTTCAATCAAGTACATGGGGTTTAATTGTTTTTTGGTACACTAATTTTAGTACTTCTTAAAATATCATCAATATTTTTTTTATTTTTCAATCACATAATATCTATTTCATTGATTGAAATAATAAATATTTTAATGATATTTATAATTTATCTATTTATTTTAATCAATCTTTAATCGAACAAACTTCTTTAACCATTATCCCATAAAAGTTGAAAGCGAACCCATGTTTTTTAGATATTTAGAGTTTTTAAAACCTCTGTGAAGCTATATGCATGGCTAATACAAAAAAAAAATTGATCTTACATGGGCTGAAGTGGAAATGTATTAAATCTATGGGGACTGCTTTGTGAAATATAAAAAAGAAGAGAAGCCCGAAACCTTCTATAATCTAGGCCGTCTATTATTTGCGTGAAACAAAAGTAAAATAAAGTCAACAAGCTTATAATTATACAAAAAGAGTCAACAAACACATTAATAACATAAAAAAGGAGGAGGAGGAGGAGGAGGAGGTTGATCCGAGTTTAGAAGATTCAAATTAAATTTGAAAAAAATTTCTAACCTCGCTGGCTTGGCTCTGGAAGCAGTGATCACGAGAAAGCGAATTGGGCTTATTGGAAATATTTTGGCAAAATTGGTTGTGGCCTACTTTCTTCTCATCTCTATAGCATTAAAAAAAGCTACCATTTTGCCTCTCTTTTTTTTTTTCATAGCAGTAACACAGACGACACAACCATGACAAATGATGTAACATGGGCTGTTTTTGTCTCTAATAGTTCATGTTTTAGCTGCAAGAAGAAACACATATAATGACTTTAATAATAAACCATTTAGGTGGTGGCTAAGTAGTAAAGACTTGGAATTAAGAAGTTTATTCCTTTTGTGGTTTCAGGTTTGAGTCATTAGTTGCTCATATGAGGGTTATTAAAAGCTTACATGGTCGTTAACTTCATTTGTCTCTAATAGTTCATGTTTTAGCTGTAAGAAGAAACACATATAATGGCTTTAATAATAACTTTATTTCCCGGTTTAACAAGAATGATATTCTTGAATTAACTTGCATGTTAATTTAAACTAAATCCCTCTATTCGAACGATCTTAGATTTACAATTTCTTTCACATCATTCGAATATCTTTTAATAGAATAAATCTTCTTGATCGTAATGTTCTCAGTATTCGATTTGAAGAAATCAAAGAAGAGAGCAGAATTTTAATGGTGAATATTGAAGTAATTAATACAAGCACAAACTAGCACCTTCCACCCTTTAACCAAGCATCAATGGAAAGATAAAATCAAGGGGCAGGAAGTTAGGATTTTGTACTTTTGTGCAATAGAATATCCATTCGAACAAAGGTTTAAGTTTAGTGTTTTTTATGAACTAAGATGACAGATGATGAAGCACTTTTGCAACGCTAGCGTATAGGTGTAACACCTTTAGTTTGCCAATGTGTAAAGAAGATAGCAATATCATAAAAGGGAGACGATAATGGAGGCAGAACTTAAGATCACGAAGCAATATTGAGACAAGAGTTCTAGTGAATTAATCAACACTCAAGAACCACTTGTATTATTTATAATCAGGAACACTTTTGTGTGGATTCAAGGCAATGGCAGAAAGTTTTTTTTTTTTTTTTTTTTTGAAGTGGTCCTTGAAAGCATTGGAGAGTGCTCAGCATGTGATCAATGGTAGAGGTGGTAAGTGAAGGGAATGGAGAATTTTGCGAAGAAAATAATCGATATTCCTGTCGGAAAAGGGGGTTAAAGGCTTCTGTATTCTGGTGGAAAAGCGGGGATCTATGAATTATAAATGTCATTGACATATTGTTCCAGATTCTGACACCATTGTTAGCATGCAAGAATCTGTCCAAGGACAATGAGCAGGACGATTATTTTCTTGAACTTTATGCTGGTGGCCCCTTGATCCAACTGGAATGGATTTTAGAAATACTTGACAGTGAAGTTACACAATGAAAAGGCAATCCCTTTTCTATCTTGAACTCTTTTCGATCATAGAAATGATCAAGACTTGCCCGTTTGGGAAAGTGGCGCGGGAGCAACGGCAGCTGAGCCAGCCCTCGTTTCGGCTGCACGTTCCCAAACGGAGTCGATAGAATGCTAAAAGATTTTATCAACTAATACCCAGGAGAAAAGATAGTTCAAGCACTTGCGTTTGCATTCAGGCCTCATCTGTCCAGCTAACAGCACAAACCAATATATAAATCTTCTTGCAAGTAAATGACCAAATCAAAGTCATCAAGGAAACAAGAGCAAGATTTAAGTAATAAGAGAAGGCATGAAACAGGTGTAAAGTATTAGCAGCCAAAAGCAAAGAGATAAGAAGATTAAACTAATCCCTTTTTGATATATCCTCTAACACATCTCACTGCATTACTCGAAACACAAAATTCTACCAGGTTACCAGGCAAAATATCAGAGGCTGCCGGAGGTTTTTTTTTTTTTTTTTTTTTTTTTTTTTTTTTTTTACGTTTCAATTTTCCTCTCTTCCTAGAGACCACACAACAAAAAGGGCAGCTCTGACTTCTACTTTCTACTCCCTCCCTGGTACATAACATATACCATTTTAATTGGATTTGATAGTTAATAGAAGCAACAGCTGAAGAAAAGAGTACTTCATGGGATCATGGGACCCTCTTTTACAAGATGACAAAATTGATGATGATGATGATTTGATGGTGGTGATGAACTAGATTATGATGATGATTAGAGGGAGGAGATGACAGTAATCTTGGTTTTGAAGAGTGGTTTTAAGAACCCTTTTTTCACTCTAGAAAACCAGTTTTTGTCAAAATAGCATTTCTCACTTTACTCAGATCTCTCCCTTTGAGTGTCCTTCCAATCCCTTCACACACAGAGAACGAAGAGATTTGACTCCTTGCAAGCTTCCTAGCTAACCACTCGTGTGGAGGCACTATGTCACCATCACCATCTTCATCACAAGAATCAACATCATCATTGACATGATCATCATCTCCATCACCATAAGCAATACCATTATGGTCATCAACCCATGAAGCCATAATAACCCTTGAATCTTTCCCATAAATTTTTGACCAATCAGGGATGTTCACAGGAGCTGATGACTGCTGGTGAACTGCTTTGCCTCCATGGTTTGTAGCTGTTGTCTTTGTTGCTGGGATCATTCTTGGAGCCGTACTAGGTAGATGCCATGCAGAAGAAAAAGAAGGACCTGAAGAAGGGTACTTGGAGCTAGAACTTGAATCTCCCATCTCCTTCACGACTGACCAAACATCTTCTTCTTCAAAATCTTCATCTCTCATTGATCTCCTTCCATAGCCACCAACAGTAATACTTCCCTTACCCAAGACACCACACCAATCTGCCATAACTACTAAAAACGACAAGAAATGGAATCAAAGTCAGTATTTTAGAAATCCAAACAGACGAGCAAGAGAGGTCTTGAGCAAAAAAAAGGAAGGCTACTTCAATCAATATAAATAAATGAGGTAAAAGGAGGATTCTTTTTCTTTGATTTTTTGGGGTTTAACTATTACTTAGTACTGTCTTCTGTTTGGTGTTGATATTAATAAATATATGTATTTGATAGGTACCCGATGAGGGGTTTTTTAAGTATTTTTAATTGAAAATTTATTAAAATATCTTTCTTATTTTTAGTATAATATATTAAAATTATAAAATATGAACACTTCCAAATAGATTTTTTTCTTGAACAAAAATCTATTTTTTTGATTTATTTTATCTATTCCATGATCATAATAGGAGAGAAAGAAGTTCCAAGAAATGCCAAATCTATTCACTTTATATCAGTAACCGAGCCGATTTAGGTGTACCATAAGGGATTTGCTTTTATATTGATTTCTACATATTAGATCAAGCTTGAATGAGGTATTCAACTACCGTGATGAATCAAAAAAAAAATCCAGAAAAAAATGGATTTGAATTTCCTACGGGAATGATTTGAAAGATTCAAAACAAAAAAAATTATATTCACTAGTAACAACATGATGGAGGTAGTTCATCAATATGAATTCATCTTAAATCTAATTCAAATTTAATATAGTATATACTAGTATATTTATCTGTATTTTATTGAAAGTCGAAATATTCATCTTCTAAACTTAAAAGAAATAATAAAAGTATGACAATATTATTAAATTAAATTAAACAATTCAATCTTGAAATTTTTCAGTTAAGTTCTTGGACTAACTTAAATTTTAAATTAAATTATATAAAAATTAATTTTAAATAAATTATTTAATTTAATAAATCTAAAAATAATTTAAATAACCAATAAAAATTAAATATAATTTAAATAATATTTTAAAATAATATTTTTTTATATTAAGATGATGTCAAATTAGATAAATCTTAGTCATCATACGACTTGAATTATAAATTTTAATATTTTTAATGATTTTGTTGTTTTTATAAATTATTTTTGTTTAATTTTATGATAATATTAGATACTTCCAAAATCGACCATCAACGCTAAAAAAATATATTTAAAATATATTTATTTGAAATTGTAATAATTCT